TGCATATATATATATATATAAAAGTATACCTGCAATTGTAAGTCCTTATCATAATCTTGGGCGTTAAAATTAAGGATAGCAGAGAAATGTCTGACCACAGGGAATGGTGGTTTTTCCATATGCAATAATGAATCAAAAGCTCTTCTAGCTGCGCGTCCACGCCAAAGAGCTTGGAGCTTTATAATTTGTGGTTCCTAGAGCATAAACAGTTTATAATTTTTATGAGAAAAATATAAACTTTTATATTAAACTTACATAATCACGGTATATATCCAACACATCAATGTATTCGGTTTGCATTCGTTTAGGATTAGATTGACACAATGCAGAATCTTTTTCGTGCCTTTCATTAAGTAATGCAATATAACGCTTTCGTTGCAATATACCTCTCCACCACGCTTGTATTTTGACAATTTTCTTGGTATTAAAATAAATGAATTTAGAAGAATACTTTTTACGTAATAAATATCCTCGGATACGTGCTTGTAGCCTAACAATGAGTCCCTTCATTTTCAAATATTCATGTGGATCTTCATTCACATTATTTTTCATTACGTACTGCAAAAAGAATTTTATTATAAATAAAAATTGTAATTATAAGTATGTATATATATTAATAAAAAATGTATACGTTGATATCATCATAAGTGAGGTAATGAGTTTCTGATAAATCTTCAGGAGGATCCCATGTGACTGTATGCTCCTTTAAATCCAAATATGCTTCGTTGCCTAAGGGAGTGACGTATCGAACAATCGAATAATTATATTTTTCACACTAAAATGAAAAATATAATTAGCTAAATTTAATGTCTATTGTATTATCTTTATTTTTATAAACAAAATATATAACCTTTAGCTTTCTCAAATTACATAATGTATGAAATTTTTTTTCCTTAATTTCTTCCGTTGTTGATTTACTCAATGAATCATTGAAAAAAATCATAAAATATTCCTGATTTTTCTCGTCCAAATTATTATTAAATTGAATGAGGAAATCGCACACTGTACAATGACATATATTTACATGATAATATCATATAATTTTTTATATAATTCTATAAGTTAACAATCTGAAATGATTAAGATACGTACTTAACTTAGCTTTTTCGCTTTCCTTAGACAAAATAGACAATACATTTTCCACATCGTCTAACCATAGTTCAGAACCATCAGAGTGTTTCTCCAAAAGGCACTTATTCAATAATTTGTAAACGAATAAAGGATCTTTAGGAGTTATGTACCAATATAACTTCAGTTGTAGCTTCGTTAAAGCTTCAGTTACAGTATATGGATTATTTTCAACCATAGCTAAATTCAATTCATGCAACATCTGTATCACTATATGATAAAAAAAAAAAAAAAACAAAAAATATTAATTAGATTCGTTTTATCCAAATTATAAGTATTTATATTTTTTAAAGATCTTTTTTGTATATATAAATATATATATATTTTTTTTCATACGTTCATTATCTTGTTGATATTGTTGATTTACTAGTTCAATGCAATCTTTTATATCGATATACGTTAGTATAGGACATAATACAGATTGTGATTGTTTTTCCCAGCGTAATGTTGCCAATGCACTAAAATATTTCAGTTTATTTTCTTCATTTAATTCCTAAAAAAAAAAAAGAAGAAAAAAAAATTATAAACACAGACATAACATTGATCTTTGATCTATCCCTATTGTTTATTAATATATAATTTACAATGATAAAATTTACCATAATATGTGCATCAGGATTCTTAAGAGCGTCATAAACTAAATCCACATTTCCTATATCTACTGCTTTAGTAATTGCTGCTATTGATGACAATACACGAATACTAACTACTATATCATTGTATGTAAGATCTTTCTATTAAAAAATATTATTCAGATTAATATAATTTTTATATAGACAATTTTGAATATATAAATTTTACATTACCTGACATTCCGTACGATCAATTTTCATTTCTTCATAATATAATGGCACTGCAAATTTATCTACACCGGTTAATTCAAGATATGGATTTTTTAAAGCTTTATAAAATTCAGTTAAACCACCAGCCTGTAAAGTTTCATTTACGAATTGTACAGCTTCCTTGCCTAGAATATAAAGACACAATATAACATATATATATATATATATATCTTTTCAAAATAAATATAAATGAAAAATTAATTAACGTTTTTGAACTTTGAGTACTCGTTCATTTCCTGTATCAATGGCATTTTGAAGTAAATATTGCCAATGATGATTAATATCAGGATAATTGGTGTTCCATTCAGAATGTTCTACTAGTTGTCTTAATTGCTTCTTATAAGTTTCTATATTACTAGACATGATGTTCTAGAAGTAAAAAAAAAAAAAAAAAAAAAAAAAAAGAAAAAAATTGTAGTATAAAAACAATTGAATATCTTAAAAATTGGGATAAATGTATAATAACGAGAGATGATAATAATAATCAATTTTTGTTCTATATGTAAAATCCAAAAACTTACCTGTAAATGCAATACAGGTGTTTCTAAGGCTTTAATTAATTCATCGCTATTAGATTGAACTAATTGAATAATATTTTTCACTGCATGTTGAGCTATTTTTAAAAGTTCAATGCACATTATATCATATATTATATTATATAAACATATATTAATTTGTGAAAAATATTTTTTTAAACATACCATTCACATGATTGATATGACCCTGCATTTCTGCTTGAGTTAATAGTTCATCATATGCATCTGGTACATAACTATCATTCAAAGACTATAAAATACAATATAATACAAATTTCATAGTTATTCAAATATTTTTAATTCATTTATATCTCACGTATTTTTTAATAATTATTTCATAACTTACTCTATTAAGAGAAGCTTCCATTTTATTACTTTTTGCTTTATACAAAGCTTCACAATAATCTTGAATATATTCAATGCAAATGTTATTTAACTGTGCTGCCTCATTTTGTAAAACATTTAACATCATAACTTGATCCTTGAATGACATTATATTTATAACATAATTGTTAAATAAAAATCAATTTGTTTAAGTTAAATACGAATGTATGATTCTTTTTTATCTTACTTGATTTTTAATCGCTTGATTTATAGCAATTACTGCTGCATGAAGTGCGGCAATATCTACAGCCATACTGTTAGTTAACAAGCCACCAATTTTTTGAAACGAAGGCATTTGAATACCATATTTACGAAATTCTTCACTGACAGCATCAATTTCTGCGTCTGTAAATTAACATTTGACGAAAACAATTTCATTTTAGGATATAACAAGTATAGAATCTGTCTTACCTGTAAAATTGATTTTTCCATACAAGTCTTGAATTTTTGGTGCTTTGCCTAGCTTAAATAAATGTGTACTAAGCGCATGTATACAATATATTACTCGTGGCATATTCTTTTTATCATATATGTCTGTTGTTTCTGGTTGGAATGTCTGGAGGTATATATATATATATATATATATAACATAAATTCATTCATACTTCGAGTTAAACATTTTAAATTTATAAGCATAAATGCTAATGATATAATATACGTACTAAAGGTAACTCCATGGATTGAAGACATTGTAAAAAATAATTAATATTATCTGTATGTCTAAACTGTAATCCAGCAAGCGCATATCTTCGCTGATCAAAATCATAAATTCTGTGTAATGGTAATATCTCTGGTGCCATGAAATTACCTAATTTTGCTAAATAAACCCCATTTCTTAAGTTTTCTTCTAATTCTGTCGTAGGAGGTAGCTTTTCTCTTATGCAAGCTTCTATCCATCTAAAAAAAAAAAAAAAAAAAAAAAATGTAATTGTAATCGTATATCATTACAATTTAAATTAATTAAATTAATATCATAATATATTACTTTTTTGCTTCTTCTAAATGACAAAGGTATTCATAAGCAAGTGTTTTCTGTCTTTGTTCATCCATTTCTTCAGCTGTTTTGCGTCCATCATTTCCCACAATAACTTCCTTACGTGATGTATTTGGAATAATGCATTTATCTATTTGTAATAAAATACATTTCTAATATTTATCTCGATCAAATAATGATATATATATATATATAAATACGTATGTATGTATTCTAAGCCAAAAAGTCAAACTATTGTCATTTATCAACCTACTGTCACCTTCAAACTGAATTATTTATTTTAGTTATAATAATCTAACTTTTCTTTCTTTTTGATATAAATAATCGTTACAATAATTAGAAATGTTTTAATAGGACAAAAGAAAGTTATATTAAAAGTTCTGGATGGGCAAACAACGAATAGGATTATTATATCACAATACTTGTCAATAAATACACAATGACAAGCTGTTATCATAAACATATTAATTAAAGGTAAAATATTAATGATTATATATGTATATTTTATCGATTAGCTTACCCTTTTTATAATCAAATGATTTATGACCACTATTAATCATGTCGCTAAATTAAAACAAAAATTATACATAAAACTACGAAAGCACGAAAATTATTCTGTAGTATACGTTACATTCCTTAAAATTCAAAATTATCAGCGGATATACTACCTGAGTAGTCTTGCCAACTGTAATGCTTTCGCAAATAAATATTTCCAAATATATAAATACTCTTTCTTTGTCCAGAATAATATTTTTTATTCTAACAAACAATATTTTATTTTTTATTTTTAAAGTTGCATTTAAAGGATTTTTCATCGATTATATTGAATCAATTCAATCGTTTATAATATGCCAAGAAAAAAATACATTTATAAAAGATGTCAAATGATTAGTTGATTTTAAGCCTATCAAAATCGAATACTGAACGAAAAACAATGTAAACAAAAAATAAATTCAATTTTCCTTTTTTTTCTTTTATATTACTCCTAAGAGATAATATTTAATATATGAAATTACTTACAATATAAAAATAAGCATATAATACACAATAAAACTGTGTAATGTTATTTCCTTTCATGCGTATATTTAAAGGTTATGTTTTTGTTTTGTCATGGTGTAGAGTCTCATTAGTTTTTATTAAAGTTTTTGAAAAAACATTTTTCATAGTAAAAGTTATCGCGGATCACAGTGAAAATACGAAACATTCTTATTAATTATTAGGTATTCAAATTATTTTATCATTTTTATATTTTCTTTTTCTTTATCTTTCTCTTGCTATTTACCATTTGTGTACATTATTGATATCTCATAGAAATGGTTCAATGTCAATTTCTAATGTAGAACATGGTAAATTTAACTCAAATTTTGTAAGTACATCCGGATGTAAAATTCCCATTTTGCCAATTACTTTGTTATTATATATTACTTCTGCATATCTTTTTGGAAAAAAAGTTGGATCTGTAAGAAGATTATATGAGAATATTTTCAAATAGAAGTACTTTGAATTGGACATTAAAAAAAAAAAAAAAAAAAAAAAGAAAAAAGAAAAATTAAAAACAAAGAAAAAAGAAATGTTTATTATTTTACCATCAGCTGCACGTAAATAATATCCAGTGTCTGTTTTATTAGTACTCCATGATACTTCAAGTACTTGCATAATTCTATCAAGTAAACCATGGATTATTTCAAAACCTCCAGTTTTATTATAATATACTGCACATAAATGCCTTTTATTACGTGCACCAACATCCATTGTAGGATCAAGTAAAACAATATCAGAAATCTCAAATAATTTCAAAGGTAATGGCATCTTCTTATTTCCGGCTATTGTTTTCAATAATCCTGGTAATAGAGTCGTACGTGCAACCTATAATGAGGAATAATAAAAAAAAGAAGATATATTTATTTGTTCACACTTTTGGTTAAAGATATATTACCTGAAATTCTAAGGTTTTTGGATTGGATATATGAACAGCTGGTATATCCTCTATTTTATGATTTATTTTTTCTGAAATATCATCCCTGGAACACTGTAATATTAAATATTTTTAAATGCAATTTTTTTTATTTAATATCGTTTAGTTTTTTTTTTCTTTTTTTTTTTTTGGTCTTTTCCACATTTAACTTACCAACGAAAACGTCAATGTTTCGGTAAAACTCGCACGTGCCAATTCTTCGCGTAATTGATCAGATAATTTATTGAGCGGAAACTTAAATTTAAAATATATTATAACATATGAAATATTTTATATCAAGTAAATGTAGTCCGTAGTACTTACCTCAATGGCAATTGTATTTATTTCTGGAAATATTTTATCTATATTATTATATCCATGAGCAATAGCTACGTCTTCATAAATATCACATGGATGTAAAACATCTCTTCTCGTTGGAGGTATTTTAATAATAATATTATTTTTTTCTTTTACTGTTGCTTCCAATGACATTTTAGATAATAGCTTTGCTATTTCTTCTGGAGTTTTTCTAAATTATATAATTATATGGTAAAGTAATTATCAATCGTTACAATTTAATTTAACTTACTTGATCCCAATATAATTCATTGCATTTTCGCTATTTATTTCTTCCATACGGTAGCTCAATTCTGGATGATAAAAGATTTTATTATCTGGATATATTACTTTTACAGTTTCTGTTGTATATTTTTTTGCACAGTATACACTGAAAGCACAAACTATAGTATCTACTGTAATCTTTGCCTAAAATATTTATTAAAATTAATTAACTAAACATTAATTCTATATTATAATATTGTATCAGGGAAGAACATCTTTTTTTTTATTTACAAGAGTAAAAGATCAAGTGAATAAATACCTTATTAAGATCAGTTGCAGTACATTCTATAAGTACATTTTTAGTATTGAGAGTGATTTTTGTATGATCCCCATTAATTATGGGTGGTAATGATAAAACAATACCATTACTATCATATATTATAGGATATACAGGACTATCCTTTATAATTGGTAAATACTGTTTTAATTGTGCATGATGCTGTAAGAATATGTTTCTATTAACATTTTCCTTTTTCTTCCTTTTCACAAATAATTCTTTTTATCAAAAAAATATTTACCGCATACAATTCCATTATTTCTTCCCCAGTATATTCTTTTGTTTGATTAAGAGGTTTAAAACGAATAGCACTTGGCGGTTTTGCATCATATACAAATGGTCCTTTAATAGTATCTAAATCATGTGTACCAATTGATACAATACTTCGTTTTCGTCCTATACTCTGATGTAATTTGTCTTGAAGATCAATGAAACTGTTATAAGAATCTTTTGTAAAAGTAATATCACGTAATACAGCAGCAACTATATGTTCTCTGACTTTTAAACACTAAAATATTTTAATAGAATTATAATATTTCTCATTTTATTATTTATATTATTGACTTTTCAATAATATTTATACTCACTTCTTCCTTCATTACAATTTCTTCTGGTACAGTTGGTTTTATTGAATTATAGCATGGTACACTAGTCCTGTATAAGGAATAATATGAATCTTTTTTTCTTATTTTATTTCAAATCAATAGAAAAATAGTTTTATAAATCTGCACGTACTTATTTAAGAATACTGATAATCCAGTAACTAGACCTTCTAAAGATAATAAATCATATCTGTTAGCTGGAATATCAATTTTATAAATAATTTCTTCCGAAGCACCAATACTTTGTTCGGAACCTTGTTCCTTTGCTATCATCTGTTTTTCTGTAGTCTATAAATATATATATATATATATATATATACAAAAGGGGACATACAATGAGTTGTTTAAAAAGTTATGGAAATTAATGATTAGACAAGATCCTTACCACATCATCTAATTCCAAACCAAACTCAAAGCATAAATTTTGAAATTCTTCTTCAGCTGCAATCAAATTGTTATTGTTTGATTAAAATTAATGATTAATTATTTAATCCCTATGGAATTTATAATGCACAAATGGAATGATAGAAAACTTAATAAAAATCTTTGTACGAAATAGAATTTAAATGTCCGCCAAATGATTTGTTTAATTACTAATTAATTAAAGAAAAATCATAGACAAGTGATAAGACAAAAATATATTTATAGTAATTTTCTTACAATATGTTTTTTCAAGTGCTTTAAATAACAAATCTCGTTTGACGGCTATAGTCGGCATTTTGAAAGGTTATGAAAATCTTAGGGACGATAAGAAATGTATAAGAAATGTGTGTGCTTTCTTATTTTTCTTTTCTAATAAATAATAATATTAAATGCACGATAACGAAACCATTGATATAGGTTAGGAACTAACGGAAGTAATACATTCGAGCGGGAAATTTAAATTTCAATGCATGTGCTTTGAACCTAATATATAAAGTTTATTGCGCATACGCAATAGCGCGATGCGATTAAAATCAAACCATGCAAAAACTCATTATATGGGCGAACACGCGTATAAAATATCAAATCTACATATAATATGTTTACAAAATTTTTCTTTGCTTTTTCTTTTTTTTTTTTTTTTTTAAAGAGAATTACGAATGTTGTGTCATTTAAATTGAACGTATCCTGTCAATATTTGATTTGACGATAAAAATGATTTACATTGTACGTCTTAACGATTAAGCTCATAAATCATAGCGGAATATTCGAAATTCTTACATTTTCTTTTCTCTTTCTTTTTTATTTATTTATTTGTTTCTCTTTTGATATTCTTATCTACAATTTGATCAGTAAGATAATAGATAGAACGTAGACGTATTTCTGTGTAAATTTCCAAGGGAAACGAGTAGATATATTTAGTTTAGAGAAGTCGTACATACAATTAAGAGATAGATGCATTGATGGTAGTACCCTTCTCGTCTTCTTGTTGGCTCACAATGTTACACTATGAATTACATCCGCGTCACGGATGATTGTGTCGTTTAACTTTTTAAACGACTTCTTCCCTTTCGAGCGAAGACATCGTACAGGATTGTATCGTCCGTCGACGTATTTACGTATATATATATACATATATATATATATATATATCATTTTCGTGCGAATGATCACCGATTTTATTGTGAATGATTGATCATTAAATAATATCGTCATCTACGAAGAACAAGGTGCGTTATAATCGATTATTGCAAAGTGAATATTTTTTTTTGTTTTTCTTTTTCTTTTTTTTTTTTTTTTTTAATAAAATAATTTATTTAACATATAACTGTCATAATTCTCGACGTTAGAATTATTTTATATGCATTTGATATTTGTAAAGGGAGCGTTGACCCTTTATCACTCAATGTTTACTTACGAAGCGATAAAACTAACAAGTGAGCGATTTTTCTTCTATCTTTTTTACATAAAGTGCATATATATACACATATATATACACACACACACAATACATGCATGTATATATATATATATATATATATATATATTTATATATATATATTGTATTTGTGCGTATATATATATATATATATATATACACATAATTGTTTTACATATCGATTTTTTAATATCACTGATCATATGAATTGATAACAGGAATAAAAATAATGGAGAAAAGTAACATACTGCTATCACCTGGCCAACGTATACGTCCTAATATGAACAAGGAAACTGTAATCGATCTTTTATCAAAGATCTATGGTCTAACAGCGATGGATATCCAAGAGTTGAATGCTTACGACGATAAAAATTATCACGTACATTGTAAGGAATCACATGAGAATCCTTATATATCGGAAATTAGCGAACACGGGTACGTTTTAAAGATTATAAATTCTTTGGATTCGCGAAATACTCATATTATAGATGCGCAAACTGAAATGTTGATATTTTTAAATGGCCATTTCAATTGTCCGATACCAGTTAAAAATTTAAGTGGCACATATTATAACATGGAGAAGATAAATGATTCCGAGGAAAGTCATGTTATAAGGCTTTTCATTTATCAACCTGGTCAATTATTAACAAGTGTATCTTGGAATAAGGAATTGCTTTATAAGGTCGGTTATTTGGCGGCAGATCTCGACGTGAAACTATCGAAATTTTATCATCCGGCCTTTGAGCATCATAGAACTATATGGATGTTGATGTCCATGTCGAAACTCCATTTATTCGTATTCGCAGTGCCAGATGAGAAACGAAGAGAATTGGTGTGCGACGTTATCGATACATTCGAAAAAGAGGTATTAAAGTTCGTACCTATCCTTGAACAAGGCATAATACATGGCGATTTAAATGAACAAAATATTCTCGTTAATAAAGAGGGTACCGATATCGTGGCCATTATCGATTTCGGTGATACCCAAAAAACATGTCTAATATTTGAATTGGCCATTGTCATTTGTTACGTGTTATTGGAACGTAAAGATATAAATGTAGGTAAACACGTTATCGAGGGATACCAAAGTGTAAGGAAATTGACAGATTTGGAGAAGAAAATTTTAAAGGTCAGTGTTTGCGCGAGAATATGCCAGAGTCTTGTGATGGGCGCCTATTCGCATTTAAACGATCCTAAGAATAAATATATTCTTACCACGCAAAAAAATGGCTGGCCATTGCTGCAAGAACTTTGGCCAATGAGCAACGACGTTATATCGAAGATCTGGGATCTCTCCAATTAAAAAAAATATAAACAATTATTTCCTTGTCGATGTGATTGCGATATCTTTTTCTTTTTTTTCTTTTGCATTTAAATCATTTCCTTTTTAATATATTTAAATGATATGTCAATTGAACGAGCAATAAATTAATTATAATATTAATTATATAATAGTCATTTTTAGAACAATATTATACAATATTATATATTACTATAATACACTATTGGGAACAACAACGTTATGATTTATGCAGTGATATATCCTCTGGTTTTATTCGCATTAGGCAATTACATATTTACATAGATAGAATGAACAATAATAATGCTCTTCTCAACCAGTAATAGTAATAGTAATAATAATAATAATAATAATAATAATAGTAATAATGATGATGATAATAATAATAATAATAATAATAATAATAATAATAATAATAATAATAATAATAATAATAATAATAATAATAATAATAATAATAATGACATATAATTATTATAACGATAATAATATATACGGAGAGATGTTTCAATAAATTGATTCGCAATATTTACAAAACCATGATTCGTCGATGAATTTTTATTTTTTTATTTATTTATTTATTTATTTATTTATTTATTTATTTATTTTTTTTTTATTCTTGTCATTGTTATTTTTGTTGTTTTATCACTAGTTTACAGATAGACGAATCGAAATAAATGTCTCATTTAATATAGATGAATAGATTAGTTAGAAACCTAGATTGAGACATTACCAGAAGAGAGATTCAATTTCAATGAAATAGTTTATGGAAATATACCGACAATATACATATATGTAGTACACCGAGCAAAGGCCTCAGTAGTCCCTTTCGAGCTCTTGTCGCTGGGTGTACATATGTATGACGTACATATGTACGTACGTATGTATCTATGTAGGTAGGTAGGTATGTATGATGTATATATGTATGTATATACGTGTACGTGTGTGTAATAGATGTATGTTTTGTATCAATGTTGGCGAAGCGATGCGCTTCTCTCGTATGCTTTTATCCGCGCATTAACTTTTCCCTTGACTTTCTTTTTTCTTTCTATACATTTTCCTCTCCTCTCAACCCTCTTTTCTTCGTTCCATCCTTTGTACCCTTTTTTTCCTTTTTTCTTATTTTTTTCTTCTCTTTTCTTTTTTTTTTGTTATTATTATTATTATTATTATTATTATTTTCTTTTTTGTTTTGTTTTGTTTTTTTTTTTTTTTTTTTTTTTTTTAATAGGGAAAGTCACCTCTTCTTATGTTATATCTCTTCTTGTCTCCTTCATTTGGATGTGCAATTTAATTATTTTACGTAGCTGTTAATATAAATTTGTTATCTCTTTTTTCTCTTCTTCTTCTTCTTCTTCTTCTTATTCCTCATTCATCTTCTTTTTCTTCTTCGTGACCCTTCCTCTTCCATTAATATGTTAAACTTCTTTTATTTTATATTTAATTTCACATCTTTTATAAGTCAGCTCACTTTGGCAAACATACTTCAGCCGTATTTCTCTCGAAAATTCGTTTATAGCGAAAATTTGTTTACAATATTTCTTTTTTTTTTTTTCCTTTTTTTTCTCTTTTTTTCTTTTTTTTCTTTTTTATTTATTTTGCCGTGCTTATAACATTCGGGAAAAAAATGAAAGCGCACAAGCGACTCGACGATCGAACGATATATATATATATATATATATATATATATATATATAATATGTAATTTGAAAAAAATCTTTTTTATATTTATTTTGTTGGTGTTGTCCGAACTTTTTATTTATTTATTTATTTACTTGTTATTACTATTATTATTAATAATATTTGAAATAGTATATATATATATATATCGTCCTGGTATATTTTAAAAGGGGAGGGGGGGCCTTCTAATCCGAAAGATGTGGTGCGACACTAAATATCGAGAATGATATTCTCTCTTCAAACTGTAAACAGCAAGACGATTGGTTCTGCGATTACGCGTTTAGAGGCACATAAGTAAATTCGGGCGATTGGACTAACGATAGAATGTTCATGTCAACGAATTTTCGCCAGAGGTTTTTAACAAAATATTATATTACTTATTATACCTATACGTTTTATTGCTTAGAATCTATTGGCTTATGTTCGCCTCACAGGACGCTTATAGGCGCATAATAATTTATCTGTAACTTACGTTGTTAGTTAACTTTATATTTAATATATATGTATATGTATATATATATATATATATATATATATATATATGTATTTTTATATATATATATATACATATTATCATTTCATATGAAACTTTTTTTGCTAACTTAGAGGTAACGTGGCAACAAATATTTAATACATATATATATATATTTTTTTTTTTTTTTAATTTTCCTTTCTTTTTCATTTTCTTCTTTTTCTTCGTCCTCTTTTCGTATATTCATATATGTATTTATATATGTATAGCGTAAATAAAAATGAAAAAGAAAAAGAAAACGAAAAAGAAAAAAAAAAAAAAGAAAATAAGAAATGAAAGGAAAAAATAAAAAAGAGGCAATGAAACTATGGGCGCTAGGCGGAATGTAATCGCAAGGATTCTTTGAAGGGCACAGAGAAAAATAAAAAGGAAGTATATATATATATATATATCTCGGTGCTTATGTTCGATTAATAATAAATTATTTTCTCGAAATAGTCGAAATAGCGTCTCAGTCTTAAGAAATGATTTTTTTCGTGTTTATTTTTTATATATTTTATTATCCCGCTTTATTTCATTTCATGTCGTTACGTTTCGTATCGTTTTGTTTCATTCATGTGTTTTCTTTTTTTCTGTTTTTTATTTTCTTTGTTTTTTTTTTCTCTCTTTTTGGTTATTCACCTTCCTCCTTTCGAAATTAATGGCTTTGATTGTGCTTGTTAAGAAAATTGTAAAAAAATAAACCCGTTAAGAACGTGTCCTTGTTGCGCCGCCGACCTTTTTTTTTTTCTTCATTGGGAGGATAAAAAGGGGAAGGAGGGCACTTAATATACGTAGTTTCTTTTTCTGTTATATCATCGATTTGACCTTTCACTTATTAAAAATTATTATTTCCATTTATTAAAGCCGTGCGATTCAAATATCAACATTGACAAACTTTTAATAACATACTTATCAATCGCGTAGCTCGCTAATAATCATCTCCGTTTTGAACGCGTTAATGAAACTTTTTGTCATTTCATGTTTCTTTCTCTCCCTCTTTCCCTCTCTCTCTCTCTCTCTTTTCCTTTCTCTCATTGAACTTTAACAATATAGATATACCTTCAACTTTTTTGGACGAATTCCACGTTTCCATTTCTTTCTTCTTTTCTCTTTTTTTTTTTTTTTTTTTTTTTTCTAGGGCACAAGAGTATGCGCGATTAGGATTCGCGCCAAACTGTACACGTAACGTACTTACACGTGGCTCAACAAATTATAGCTTAATTAGGACGAAACGAGGATTTTCAGCTCTTTTGCATGTGGTGTCTTTGTATCTGTCGGTCTCTCTCTCTCTCTCTCTCTCTCTCCGTTCTTCCTTTTTCCTTCTTCTTTTTCTTTCTTTTTTTCTTCTTTATTATTATTATTTTTTTTTTAACGTTTTGTTGTTTTATTTTTATCCTTTCTCTCTCTCTCTCTCTCTCTCTCTCTCGAAACTAATATAATATCCTCATAACGGACTCATGAGACTCGGCGCGTTTATATTCCTTTGACGTATTTTAATATGCTACGAGATAAGAAACATAATCACAAAATGAAATAACTTGGTCGATACTTGCATTCAGAATACTTAATCGTGAATGTTACATCGTAATACTATCGAATCAACATCAACGAAAAGGTGCTTCGTTATCGTTTTATCATTTAAAATTGTTTCTCCTATCACGGATATAATTGCGAAGTCCTTTTCGTGATCTTTCTCTAACGGGCATTATAATTTGTCCTAACGATAGCGATCGACAATTATCACCGCGAACTCTACGGCGAAGATCATCACGTTTTATAAGATGATTATATGCTTCTCGATCTATCGATCCTCTTCATCTTCGTGATATTTAAAATACCGTGATCGCCTGCTATTTTCTTTTTTTTCTTTCGTTCACTTTACATACGATCGCACATTTTTTCCTTCTTTTTTTCTTCTTCATTTTTTTGTTCTGTTTTTGTTTTTCTTTTTATTGTTTTTTTTTGTTTTTCCTTTTTTTTTTTTTCGTTCCAACTAACGACAAGACGCACAGCACTGCTTTTGATAGAGCGGCACTTTGCATATATTCATAAATTTCATTCTGTTGCATATAGGTGAGTGATCTTTGCAGTCGTCTGTACAAAAAACAAAAAGGGAAAAAAAAATAGAAAAAGAAGAATAACAATTAATTCGATTGTATTATTATAAATTCATTTAATGAGAGAGAAAGAGAGAGAGAGAGAGAGAGAGAGAGAGAGAGAGAGAGAGAGAGAGAGAGAGAGAGAAAGACAGATATATATGTTATTAGATCTGATTCATTCCTCGTACGAATATTATTATTATTGAAATATACCTGGTGATTGAGGACAGGTTGGACCCCTGCACGTTTTCATTACCGGTGGTCTTGGTATATCTCTGCACGCATTACCAGCTGGCTTTTTTGTGCCATACCATACGCATTGTAATATCCTATATTTTATACCATCCTCTTCGCAAGATGCCGTACACTAAACGTTAATAACAATTATCATTTGTAATAATTATTTCCAAAGATATTTTAATTAATTCGAATGACTCACCTCAGACCACTCGCCTACTCTCCATACACCTTTACAAGCATCGTTATAACATTCTTGCCTTTGGAGTGGTCTAGTTGTTTCGTCACATTTATTCGGATCTAATTGAGTGACGTTTTCACGACCATCCTCTAATTCCTCGATCAATCGACAACTAATATCACGCCTTTGCATTGCCGTTTTCCAATTGAAACATCTCGACGATTCACAGATTGTCCATTCGGTCGTATGCCATTGAGGACATCTTTCGATTCCGCATGGTCTTACTTTTTGTGGCATCGGATGTCCAGCACCTTCGCACAAACTAGCACTTATTATTGTCCTTAACGGTACACGACTCGAATTTGCCGATTTAATTGCACGCATCGTACATTGTGCTCCACGCATCTAAAATTTTATTTCTTGTTAATTTACTCCTTTCTAAACTAAAGATGCAATCTTCTCTTTTTTTTTTTTTTTACCTGGAAACCACTACCACCGCAAGTTTGCGAACAGTCGGACCAATTTGTCGTAACCCATTCAAAAATTAAGTCTTCTGTATTGTCTAGAAAAGTGTTAAAGAAAAAAATTGTAAGTAAAATTAATCACCACATTATACGCAAGTATTATATTCCAATAGAACATTTTTATTATGAAATGTTCTTACCAAGAGCACCAATCGAGCCGATTATTGATTCAGTTTTTTCCATACTACTAGATGTCGTAAACGTATCCATCGAGGTCTCCTTTGAATTATCTCTCGAATAAGCTCGATCATGCCTATGAGATAACAATTCTTTTGTAACTTGTTCGGTCGATTCTAATGCAATTTGTTCATTGCTAGATGACGTTGTTTCGTCCATTATCGTTGAACTTTCACCTTCTTCAATTTCTAAAAGTTTTGTCGACGACGAAATAATATGATCTTCGTCGGGATCATTGGCTCTACGTTTTTCCAATTCGTCTATATAAATCGAATCGTCATTCGTGTTTGATTTATCGACAGTAAAGGATTTCTCATTGTTTTCCACATTGAAGATTTTCGTTGAAAGTTCGGTATCATTGAGATTAGTCGATGAGATTAATGTACGTACCGATGTATTATCATCGGGAATATCGTCGAAAAGTGATTTTTCGTTCGTCGCCAACGAAGAAGTGACATTTTTCGTGGTAGAATCTTGAATATAATAAACCTCTAATCCAACATTTTCTGAAGATTCTGCGGAATTTATTGTCTCCTCGGAATAATCATTGACAGTATCGTTTTTATGATTTTTCGAAAGATCCCGCGAATCTTGCCGATGTCTTTTAACATTTTTCAATGATTCCTCGACATAATCAACGTTCGCCTTTGTGACCGTTGTAAAATCTTTTTTATCTGATAGATCATTGGTCGTTCGTTTATTATTATCTTCATGCCTTATACCAAATATCGCTGCATCTAGATCATAAGGATCTACGTCAATGAATATCCTTTCTTCGTCTGGACCAAATACATCATCGGGAATGGCTGTGTTGCGATATAATAGATCCTCAAAGTCGTCTTCTTCGACTTTATGATATCTCATGCCAGTCTTTTTGTCGGGCATAGTACGTTTCGTTGCCATAGAAACTTCTTTGTGGGTATCGTCGATGAAAGAAACAGGTGCCGTTCTATGACTTCTGCTAGAACCTGTATTACTTTGAAATGGCCAGTAGGCCTAAAAACGATACGATTAATGATTTCATTTCGATTATATATAAAACGTATAGCGTTAGAAACGAAGCGTTAGAAAGGATTTCGTTAAAGTAATATCGAAGGTATACAATGGAAAACGTCGTTCAAACATTACGACCTCACCTTTATGCTCGAAATTAAATAACTGAGGTGAGGCATCAGACTAGTTGCACCGGACGTTGCCGTTGATTCTACGGATTCGTGATATCCGGGCTGACGTGTTTATAATATATCCCGAATACGTCCAATGAGTAGAATATTAAAATCCATTAAAAGAGAGCAAGCAAAGAGAAAGAAGATTTTCTATATTAGTAGAAAGTGCCTCTCTACTACTACATGTATATATATGGATATATATATATATATATATATATATATACATATATACATACGTTGATTAATTACTATTTCTATGATTAATAAGACAATAGATAGATAACGGTTAATCGTCATAGACATTAGATATATTTTATGGTGAATATTTTTTTAAACGGATAAATCTACCTGATTAAAAGAGGTGGCAGTATTCTCTTTGTGCATCATAGTAGAATCCGGTGGAGTTGGACTGGTCCTTTGCCTTTTGTGTTGTGGTTTTCTCGTTGGTTTACTCGGAACCGCTCGTTCGTGGCTGAGGTCTTCTCCATCGAAAGGAGCAAAGTGATTACCATAGGCGGCTAGTGTATATATGTATATATAACATATATATATAAATATATATATATATAGAACATTGTTATATTATTTATTTAATAGTAAAGAAATCTTTAATACGCTGAAAGAATCGTTTATACCTGCACGATCGGTGTAAAGGTTCTCACCGGAATTGGCTGGTGCTGAATCAAGATTGGCATTTCTTTGAAGATGCACGGAATTACCAAGCCTAAGATATTCCTCACTGCTTATCTGTTCTTTCGAGCGTAATTTCACGATAATACGTGTTTCCGCGTGCGAAAGCGATGCTTCAAATATTGAAATAATCAATTAATCAAGAGAAGAAGTACATACATTGAAATATTGTTTCATTAATTTCAGCATTTGTTCGTTCATTATTTTAACGACTTACCGACGCAAGCGTAAACTCCATCGTCGGACGTACTTATGTCCATAATCTTTAGAGCTCCCTTTTTGTTGATTTTATATTTTCTCGTTCTACGTAATTCTTTACCATCCTTCGTCCATATAATTTGCGCTCTGTAAGTTAAAAATGGTGATATAATAATGCTGATCCAAGTAAAAAATATCAAACCTCGTTTATTCTATCGTCTTACTTATCGAATTTTTTAACTGGACATCGAATTTTGATAAAAGGCGTCCCTTGAAAAACCCTAGCTATACCGCCAATCTTTAAATCGACTTTCTCATTTAAGTCCGATTGATTGTACGACGAATTCTGACTAAGAATGATTGGCTGCACGTTCATGTCCATCTCATGACACGGCTTGGTGTTACATGGTTTTTCGGAGGATGGCTTTTGCGGCGGGCATTTATTTTCTTCCCTTCTCTGTTTGCGACCCAGTGCCATTATTTGTTCGCAGGTCACGTTACGTCTCTTTACCCCGCCTCCGCAACTTTTGGAACACTGCGAATATAATCGAGTTCAGACACGAGACCGATGTGGAGAAGGTCATGCGGTTAGTCTCTATTTATCTCTCTCTCTCTCTCTCTCTCTTATACACACATACACGTACAAAAACACACATGCATACGCACACATAAACACACACTCAAACAATTTAATTTTATCTTCGTCAGAGATTTAAAAATAAAACTAGAAATGATTTTTAATAAATGGAAAGGAACAAAATTGTTGTTAAATCATTTCATTAATATAACTATATTATATACCAACGAATATTCTACATAATTTGTTATTTACGTAGAATAATCATTTCAACTTTTTTCTTCCTACACTTGAATTTAAAAATATTTTGTACAAATTCTGATCACGCTAAAATTGAATTATACCAGTGTCGCGTTAAAAAAATAAAATATATATATATATATATATACATACACACACACACACACACACACATACACACACACATATATATATATATATATATATATAGATGTATATATGGAGAAAGTACCTCTCCCCATTCTCCAGCGCTCCACTTGACTGGACAATCCAACACGTTACAGTATTGTCTGTCTGCTGGTGGTGGCTGCGGGCACATATGGTTTGGTACCGTCACGGTATTACCGATTCCTCGTGTCACCTCGTGTATGCATGTGACATCGCGAGTCTGAATGCCAATACCGCAGGGGCTCATGCAGGGTAAGAACTCGCTATATCTCCACCTGTGGTTTAACATAACGACGCATTGTTACGTTACAAGGGGTTTTACATTGAATAATCGTACCGAAAATTTATGTCTACGGTTAAACAATTATTGTTCGTCGTATTGTTGTTTAACGTAGTATATATTAAAAATATATTGCGAAAAATTTGCGAAATATTTTTCGTAACACAAATGATAATCGTTTGGATTATTAAGTTTTTATGAAAAAAAAAAAAAAAAAAAAAAAAAAAAAAAATCGAGAACAAAAAAAAAAAGAAGAAAAGAAAACAAATTTTCCATTTTCTTTCTTCTCCTTTTTCTTTTTTTTTTTTTTCTTTTTCCTAATTAAAATTCTTATCTCGGATAAATATGACGAATAAATAAATAAAATGTTTACCTAGGTGGACAGGGATGATCGTTGCAAGTTCTGATTCTTGCTTCTGGTTTAGTTTCGGTGCTGCAGAGAAGCGGGGTCACGGTTTTACCAGTATCGTCGCGTACGCAGTATATTATCAATTCTTGTACGCCTGGAATCGTTTGGAAAAGAAAGAAAAATATAAAAAAAAAAAAAAAGAAAAGAAGAAGAGAAAAAAACAATAAAAACGAGAAGAAACATATCAAATGGCTATCTAACTCGTCAGCGTGTCTTCTCCTGTCAGGATTTAATATATGATCGTTATGTCTCGGATAAATCTACGTTTTCGTCCAATTGATTTCAGCTAATTGAATCGTCGGATAGTGTTCCTAACGGAGGATTGCTAATGGCACGATGCCGTTAAATCGACCGCTTCGATTAGCCAGTTTGGATGAGCATCTATCCGATTGGTAATCCTTAGTAATCCTATTCGATACGCTAATCGATAGATTCCTTAAGATAATTCTATCTATAAATATTCTTATTACTTCGAGATGATGATTATCATTAAATAAAAAAATATACAATTAAATCCGACCTGAACAATAATATAGTAATGCATTATATAAATTAAAAAAAATCAAAGGTGTAATCTTTTGAAACTCGTTAATTATTATTACTATTATTACTACTGATTTAACTTTATACTAAAATCACTAATCTCATTACACACAAATGGATCGCGTCGTCTTATATTAGGATCTTAATAAAATCCTAATGCCTTGAAACAACTGTGGAGAGATAAAACAAGGAACGTTGTAACTAAATAGACGAAGGAAGGAATGATGAGAACGAGTGAGAAGAATAAAGGAAGGAAGGAAGGAAGGAAGGAAGGAAGGAAGGAAGGAAGAAGAGAAACACAAGGGAAGATTGTAAAGCAGAAGTCTTCGATCGATATAACAACCCTTTACCTCCTAAACATGTAGCGCTACAAGGCGTATAACCAGCTTCCTTCCATGAGTAAGTGGTTTGGACGTTTCTTCCTGGTGCCACTTTGATACCACTTTCGTAACCACCGGCACTACCGGCTGCCAGACCAGTTCCAACACCTCCTGAACTACTCGATGATTTGTAGGAATCCGTCAAACTGGACTCGGCATATCCGCTATCCCCAACCGTGTCGATTCTATACGACAGACTATTCTCAATCAAACCGCAAGGCTCCATGACGCACTTCTCCGTCTCCTCTGGTTTTGGACCGGAACATTGTCTGTCTGGTAACTTGGCGATCGTACGGCTAAATTCGAGAAATATCTTGCAATGGACTTCCCTACGGCGTATTCCATCTCCGCAAGTAACGCTGCACGGTGACCATTCCTCCGCTATGAATCTGAGGAATTATTACATATATATATATATATATATATATATATATATATATATATATATATATATATCATTCGATCGATCCTATTATTTACATGGAATTTCCTTCATAAGGAATGATTATAAGAGAGGAAAATAATAGTTCAATAAAAAAAAAAAAAAAAAAAAAAAAAAATAAGAATTAAAAAATAAACGAACGATCGAACGAACGAACATACGAACAAACTAATTAACTAACTAACGAACTAATACGATGATTCACTATCGCAATGACATTTTGTATATTTCTCTCTTTTCTTTCTTTTCTTTCTGTTTTACTTTTTTTCTTGTTTGTGTGTGTGTGTGTGTATGTTTTTTTTCTTTTATTTTTTCATTTCTTTCCTTCTTTTACTTTTTTATTTCACTTTCCCTTTTCTTTTCTTTTCTTTTTTTTTTTCTATTTTTAATATTAACGATAATATCATCAAGGACGACGGGTTCTTTCTCTCCTTTTTTTATTTCTCTCTCTCTCTCTCTCTCTCTCTGTCTTTCTTTCGAAAGAAAAAAGAAAAAAGAAAAAAGAAAAACTGAATTCGATCAGAATCAGAATCGATAGTAAGTAAGAATTCCCGTTAATTTACCGATCGAGTATTTTACCTGATTCTTTCCCCATCCGCCTTCGTCCCCGTTCCCGCCCTACCCCTACTTTTTCTCTTTTTCTATCAGTCTCGAAAAAAATCTTGTGAAATTTTTTTTTCTTCTATACAACCCGGTTGGTACTTTACATCATCGATTATTATGGCGGGAGCACAGTTTTTCTCATCGTTTTTCGAAGGTACACTTAAAACCACGCCCGCCATCCATTCGACAGGCACTCATCTATTCAGAGGGCTCGATCAGACCCCCCCGCCCCAACCCCCATTGAAACTTACATCCGTGAATACCTTTCTCTTTTGCTCTTTCATACACACTTTCTCTCTCTCTCTTTCTCTCTCTCTCTTTCTTTTTTTTCTCTATCTTTCGTAAGCGCATCAATCAATAACCGCTATACTTGCTGACAGCTTTTGCAATTTGTCTTATGGATTAACAGAATAATTACTTCTAATATATGTGTGCGTGCGTGTATGTGCTTCTTTTCTTTTCTCTTCTTCTTTTTTTTTTTCTTCATTTTTTTCTCTTCTTTTTTTACTTTTCTCCTTTTTACAGAATACGTCATAGAAAGGAGAGATTGTACCATGTTCAAAGTTAATTTTACTCTCTTGTAGATACAAAGACGATCATTTTTTTTCTTTCTCTCTCTCTCTCTCTTTTATATATATATATATATATATTTCTCTCTTTTCTATTATTTATTTGTTTTTTTATTCAAAAAAGAAGATTTTAATTTTGATCATCAGGAAACATTAATGCGACGCTAGTTGCATGAAGAATCTTATTGTAAGAAAAAAGAATGATCGTTTAGAAAGGAATTAGGCGGTACATGCAAAGCGCACATGTATCTATATAATATATAAATATGTATGTGTGTGCGTGTGTAAATATATATATATATATAATATATATAATATATATTTATATACAAGGAATATCAGGAAACAATAGAGTTAGCTAGAAAGATGATGGAAATTGGTGTGTGCCTTTAAACACAACAAAAAAGAAATAAATAATAAAGAAAGAAAGAGAGAGAGAGAGAGAGAGAGAAAGAGAATAAGGGATGGATCGAACAAAGACGTGAGATTATGCGAGAGATTAATGATCTTTCAACGCAATTAATTACTTCGATCGCTTTGTTAAAAGGGGTTTTGAAAAAAGCAAAAAAGCATTAACAGCACTTGAGTACGGCTGTGAATCGACAAAACGCCGTGCATCGGATCTACTATGGAAAGAAAAAAGACAATTAAAGAGGGTGGGTGGGTGGTAAGGGGGAGGGTAGAGATAGAAGAGACAGGCCAGAGTGGATTTCTACGCTAGTTTAGTACAAGAAATGCTTTGGGAACATCGAGGAGAGCTTAGATAAGAGAAAAAAAGAAAGAAAGACTGAGATAGAAATAGAAAGAAAGAGAGAGAAAGAGAAAGAGAGAGAGAGAATCAGATAAAGATAAAGATAGATTAAGGTGATAGATAGATAGAAAGAAAGAGAGATAGTTTATAGATAGACAGACGAAGAAAGTGTATTAAAAACATGATTACTTTTTAAAGAAATAAAAAAAATAAAAATAAAAAAAGATTGATATAGAGGAAAGAGAAAGAAGAAAAAGGAAATGAAAAAGAGATACAGAAAGAAAGAGAAAGAGAGAGAGAGAGAGAGAGATTAAGAGAAAATATTTGGATAAATAAATAATAATTAGAAATATATTAAGGAAGTATGAAAGTTTGACAGAAAGAGACACAGTAATAGGATACCTCAGATACAACCAGCCACAGGCAAAGTAGATCGTATATCTGTCGGAACATACCAATTAACATAAAGAAATGAATGCTGTGTTTTAAATTGATTGATTGGTTGATTGGTTGGTTGGTTAATTGGTTAGTTGATTGCAGGGTTGGGGGAGGGGGGTGAGGAGGATTTGTATTACTATAATAATACACGTATATTTGAATGAACAAATATACATGCGTATATCATAATTAAGCACGAGTAAGCATTAGGAGAACACATCGATACGCAATAAATAGATTTCGGTAGCTTGATCTACAGAAATACAATAGATAAATAGATAGATAGATAGATAGATAAATAGATAGATATAGGTATAGGTTTAGGTATAGATATACATATAGATATAGAGAGATATATATATGTATGTGCATGTATGTATATGTGTGTGTGTGTGTGTGTGTGTGCGTTTTGTTCTAATATATATTACTTACGTCGATTCCGATGGTATAGGTTGATCGATTAATTTTTCCGGCACCGGTGGTGGTGGATAAGGTTGCATCAATGGTTGCGTTAGATCCTCGCCATCTTTCATATTCATAGATCATAATTATTTGATAATTTAATTACGTATATATTTATATATGTATAACACGTAAATAATTTTTATTGAAAATTATTAAAAATACAATTTCGATAATGGTCACAGAATTATGTTAAATTTATTTATTCAATGATTTATCATAAATATTTATATTTTATATCGTACTTTCGTACTCGTAAATATTTTTACTTACACATGCTACATGCTACGTTAGCTTTACATTCCTGTTCGGCACGTGGTCGTTCCAAGGGATCGCATCCGGTCGAGATCAGACCGTTTCCATCTCTACACTCGATGCTTCTCCTTCTTACACCGGTACCGCAGGACGCTGAACACTGTTGAAGAAGTAAGATCTATTTTAAAATTGTGATCGATCCATCGTCGTCTTCGGATTTTATCCTTACGCGACAGGATGTAACAACAGTGATAAGTTGTTCTTATTTTTTTTTTTTTCTTTTTTTCTTCGAATATTTGTCAACGATATCATTGTGATAATTTTATATCAAAAAAAAAAAAAAAAAAAAAGAAAAAAGAAAAAGAAAAAAAAAAAGAAAAATAGAAAAAAAAAATAGAAAAAATAAAAAATTTGTCAAACGTATGGAACATATTGATACAATCCTCGATTACGTTATTACATTTTGTCGCGTATAATGTTTAATTTTTTCATTAAAATTACGAATTTGGTGTAAAAAGACGAAGAAGAAAAAAAAAAGAGAAGAAAAGAAAAAGAAAATTGTATAACAATCGTATTGATTGAATCGCACTCGAAATAAATAGAACTTAAAATGGGCTGTTCGATGATAACAAAGTTTATCATCACTAATTCAAATGCTTTTTCTTTGCACATCGTAGAACAGCTTAACGCTCAAATATAACGTGTAACGATTAACAAAAGAGGATATCCTGATATAATATCCGAGACATAAAATTGGACGTAACATTATTTGAACTCGTCTCGTCTCGTATCGCATTTGTGAAGTTTATCAAGTATAATTATTAATTACTAGCTTTCTGAAACTTCCAAACTGACTGCCAGAGAATTCATTATTTATTATTTCAACTTTATCAGACGGAATAATAAATGTTCTATATTTATTAACATTTATCTTACACATCGATCTAATCTAACAAAGAAATATATTAATAATTGTATTCAATATTTGATTTAAGATTAAATTTAAACGAAAAAAAAAAAGAAAAAAAAAACGACAACAACAGAAAAAAAAACAAGAAAAGAAAGCGATATTATCGCGTGAAACAAAAAAAAAGAAAAGAACAACAAACTCACGGAAAATAATCCCTTTAACAAACTCGTCGTATCCGTTAACTTTCGATCTGGTGATTATAAGAGAAAAAAAAAAACGAAGACAAGAAAAAGGAAAAGAAGAAAAAGAACGAAAAATGTAGAAAATATTTCTCTTTTTTTTTCTTTTTTTTCTTTTTTTTTTTTTTCACGAATTCCCATACGAAACGCACAATGCATTTCTAATTGCATTCTCTCCTTTCCCCCCCCCCCCCTACTGATTTCGAAGTGAGTTAGGTCGTTTCTGGAAATCCCAGGAGCTGATTTACACTCGGTCGTTCTGGGTTCAACATGGAGCGACGTAAATCGAACAGGAGGAGAATGGGGGAAGGATTATCTTCAGGATTTTGCTGAGAGACGGGTCATCCCTTCTCTATCTCTTTCTCTCTTATTCTCTCTCTCTCTCTCTTTCTATATATATATATATATATATTTCTCCTCTCTCTATTTCTCTCTCTCTCTCTCTCTCTCTCTCTCTCTTTCTCTTTAGTAGATGGTAGAGTTGCACGAGAGGGAAGAATCGTCCTCTCTCTCTCTCTCTCTCTACGTGTTTCTGCACATCGCCTTTGGCGTTTCGTTACTTTTGGTGGAAAGAGTAGGTAGAAGTTTTCTGGTAGCACGAGTCTCTACCGTGCACGAGAGTTACCATCGATTCGGTTGATATTCGTCGAAAGAGTTGAAGAGTTGAAAATCAAAGAAGGAACGAAAGAAAGAAAGAAAGAAAGAAAGAAAGAAAGAAAGAAAGAAAGAAAGAAAGAAAGGAAGAAAGGAAAAATGAGAGAATAAAAGACAGAGAAAAAGAGAAAGAAAGAAAAAGACAGAGTATTCGAAGGGTGAAACAAAAGAGGAAAGGGTGTGGAGGAGTTAAGTTCTGAAAGGAACAAAAAGGTCAAACGCAAGAGTTATCGTTCGAAGATGTCGAATGTGTAAAAGGTGACGCGAAGGGAAAAGCGGAAATCCACTCGACTTAGGCGCGTTAGCTTTCTCTCTCTCTCTCTCTCTCTCTCTCTATATATATATATATGTATATATATATTTCTCCTCTCTCTATTTCTCTCTCTCTCTCTCTCTCTCTCTCTCGCTCATTCTCTTTTACTCTCCTTCTCTATTTAAAGCGATGAAAGGTTAAAGGGGGAGAAATGTAGAGAGAAAGAAAGAAAGAGAGAGAGAGAGAGAGAGAGAGAGAGAGAGAGAGACAGAGAAAACAGGCAGAGAGTGCTTTAAGGAGCCCTGTGCTTTCGGTTCAATATTTGCATGGCTTCGAGGCTCACAAAAGAGAGAAATCTATCAATTCCTGTCTTCCAAGGCGCTTCGAATTCTCTCTCCTTCTTCTTCTACTCTCTCTCTCTCTCTCTCTCTCTCTCTCTCTCTCTCTCTCTCCCTCTCTCTATCGTTCTCGTTCTCGTTCTAGTTCTCGTTCGTTCGTTCGCTTTAGCCTCGGATGAAATCATTACGATGCTTTGCTGACGGGCACGAGGCTTTTGTGTATCGCTAGCGAAAGGGTGCCTCCTTTCCGTTGTCTTCCCCTCCTCTCGATCCCTTCGCTCTCTTCCTTTTCTCTCTCTCTCTCTCTCTCTCTCTCTCCCTCTCTATTTTCTTTCTTTATTTCTTTTTATTGTAAAAAAGAGCCAGATGAAGAGAGATAGAGAACTCTTCCGTGCATCGATCAGGTACGAAATGCCGTAAATCATGACTGGCGCACTTTCGAAAATACACATTTGGATTCACACACACACACATATATATATATATATATATACACATACGCTCACACGCTGTACACATATATACATCGTAAAGATACAAGGGAGAATGTGTAGCTAAGAAATTCTCACGATGGCGCCCTTACTTTCTTCTCTCTCTCTCTCTCTCTCTCTCTCTCTCTCTCTCTCTCTACAACCTCCTTTTCCCTCCCTCTCCGTTACTCATCCCCCTTCTCCATCCCCGAAATACATTGTGTGTAAGACATTTTCCGGCGTAACGTCTCGATGGATTCGATAACAAAGAGTAGCCCGAGGCTAAGAGAAAACGTTACCTATGATGCCAGGAAAGCGTCGAAGACTCGATTTTCGTTCGACGTACGTACATACATACATACATACATACATACATACATACATACATACATACATACATACATACATATATATATATATATATATACATATGTACATATATGTACGTATACGTATATATGTATATAGATAACTTTACATGTACGTGGACTCTAGCGGACGTTGGCGCGCGCGCACAAACTCACTCGTTCATGTATCTCTACGTAAGTATATATATATATATACATCGTATAAGAGAATCTTTGTAAGCGATCTATCTAGATCGTTTATGAAATATCTTCATGGTATCCGTGGTAAACAGATATTACGCTCGATATACTAGAATTCAGTCGTTTTCTAGACGGTTGCGCTTCTATCGAAAGATGCCCAATGGAAAGAGTCACGTAAGAGTATCTTCTTAGCGTATCTTCTCTCTGGTTTATTTATTCCTTCATTTATATATATATATATATATATATATATATATATGTGTTCTTACATACGTTTATTATTCGTGTATTCCTAGAAAATGATCAAATGAAAATTGAAGAATACCGACAAATATTTCAGATAGATCGTTACGTGATAAAAATATATTTTTATTTTCCCTTTTTCATTTTATCCTTTTCTTTTTCTTATTCTCTCTCTCTCTCTCTCTCTCTCTCTCACTCTTTCAAAAAGAAAAAGAAATTCTACAATTCATGAATTTATCGTCGACGATCTTAACGTAGCACGTACTACTACTACTACTACTACTACTATTACTACTACTACTACTGTTGTTGCTGTTGCTACTGTTACTGTTGCTACCATTACGTATTGGATAGACAATTTCAAGATCGTTTCGAAACGATCGTACTAGCGGCATCTTTAACTTTAACGATCGAACGTTAGGAGTCGTCCTCTTGCGATTTACGAAACGTCACGGTACTATTTCAGATGGCGGCTGTTACCTTAATAAATACGTATCTATCTATCCGATTTGAGAATCGAGTACATTAAGTGTTCTCATGAATAAATCGTAAGTATAGTCGTTGCGTTCCATAAGGGAAAAAGCTTTAATCTCTTGGCGATTTTTCATATTTCTAACACCATAGAGGGAAACACGGATGAAACTTTGCTTTTTTTTTTTTTTTTTTTCTTTTCTTTTTACCCTTATCCTACCCCCCTCTCCTCCATCCTCCATCTCCCGCTCGCCTACCTGCCTGCTTGCTTGGCCTTCCGTCCCTGAGTGCATAGATAGGACCGAACGAGATTGCAATCGGTGCGAGATTTTCATCTCTTTCTCTCTTTCTCTCTCTCTCTCTCTCTCTCTCTCTCTCTTTTTCCTTCTTTTTCGCTTCTTTTTCTTTTTTCAATTCCCCAACGAGAACCAAGCTATCAGTTGACGTCATCGTCATTATCATTACGATCGCGACGTGTCCACCGTATTAAAGGATTACACGTTTCAATGCTGTTATCGTTTTATATCATTAATTGATATTTTTTTTTTTTCTTCAAGGTGAAATATAAAAGTAGAAATTTTGTATTTTAAAGGGATAAAGAAAAGAAAAGGTTAAAAGAAAAATGATATTATGTTCCTTTAATCTCATTAATCGTTTATGTATATGTATATTATTTATCATCGATTTTGCGATTTCAATAATCGATGCATATTATTGTGAACGTTATAATTTTATATGATGTACTATACGATATTAAAAATGTAATAATTTAGATTATTTGTATATAAAAGAATGATATATATTTCTTTAGATTTTTTAAATCTTAACAAATCGCTCGTTTACTATTAATTAATGTATATCAATATATATAAATACATGCACACCCACAAACATTTGATTTTGTGGTTCAATAATTACATAGTTTATAGACTATGCACGGGAAAGAGAGGGAACGTTAGAATTTGATTAATAAATCTTCTCTGAGATTGATCGACGTAGTAAATTATTTCGTTGGAGGCCAGCTGCTACAATAATTATCGTTGGCAGTGCGTTAATTATTTAAATAAATCGTAGCTCACATCGTAAATATTCCTATAAATTGTTCCTCGGTTCTGTACGCTATTTGAATTCCATTAATTTGTGAATGTACCGCTAATTCCCACGAATTGTCCATTTGAATGTGCGCGTTGTTACGCACGCATATGGCTTACGAGATGGGCAATAGCCTCGTAGTAAAACGAAATTCATTCAAACGAGAGAAGAGAAGAGAACAGAGAGAGAGAGAGAGAGCGAGAGAGAGAGAGAGAGAGATGTACTTTACGACTTTACAAATTTTGGAGAATTTCCAAACGTATGTATGTATGTATGCATGTATGTATGTATGTATGTATGTCGAGTTACGAACAAATTCAATCGTTCTTTTGTCTCTACATTGTCCGTTCAAGATTATACAGATCATTTAGATCAGTCGATCGTTTAAACAAACAATTTCTTTAAAATAGATTATTTCTATCTATTGTAAATTATTTGTATCTCTTTCTTTATCCTTTTTTTTTCCTTTTTTTTTTTTCTTTTTACTTCTTTTCTCATTGCCACACCACATTATGGCGCAAAACAATTATTGTAAGAGATAGGAAGGACAAAAAATGAAAAAAAAAAAAAAAAAAATAGAAAAAAAAGGAAAAATACAAAACAAGAAAAAAAAGGGAACGAAGAACGAAATTAAAAAAAAGAGAGAGAGAGAAAGAGAGAGAAAAAAGAAAAGAAGAAACAATTCGAAGTTTGGTATAACGAAGAAAGTTTGGCTTATACCGTGAAAATTTTGAAGGACGAATAAAAGAACGTTTTCCGGGACGATATCGACGTGACATATAAAACCCGTAGTACGTACGAATCCGTACGTACGTACATGCCTACGTACATACATACATACGTACATACATACATAGATACATACATACATACATATATACCTCCGAAGTTACATAGCTCGTGGCTACGTTTGGACTCAGTCCAGAGAACATTTCGCGAAGTCACATCTCGATTTGCTCGTGGCACAGATGCTAGACGAGAGAAACCACGACAGAATTCTTTCTATTTCTTTCTCTCTCTCTCTCTCTCTTTTTCCCCCTCTCTTTCTCTTACCCTCTCTCTCTCTCTCTTTCTCTCTCTCTTTCTCTCCCATTGTAAAGAGTGGGCATTGAACGCGGCGCGTCTCAACGAGCACTAAAAGCTTGCCTAGGCGTCACGAGGTCGTTCGTCCTTCATCGATCTAATATTTGTCTATCTCTCTATCTATCTATCTATCTCTTTCTTTATTGTTCTCATCGTTAATCCTCGGAATATTCATTCATTCAAATGTTCTTTCGTTCAAAGGTTCACCTTTTGAGCAACAAAAAAGAAAAAGAAGAAAAAAAAAAAAAGAAACCAAAAAAAAAAAAGAAAATCGATATAATAACAGACGATTCTTCGAAAATTCTTAGAATCGTTCTTATTTCGATTAACATTTCTGAAAGTCGTACAACGTGTATATATACATATATAATACAGATAGGGAACGAAAAGAAACGAGATAAGGCGATAAAGACCGAGTAAACTATTATACGATAAGAGTATCCGTAGTTGGATGCCAACTATGAGAGTTAAATTCGTGAAGGCGCCTGGTAGTCGTCTGCTATGCGAAAAATCGTAACGTAGCCATTTCTCGAGGATTCTTTTCATGAGCCAACATTTATTATATCTACGCATGTATACATTTATACGTACATATATATATATATATATATATATATATATATATATATGTAAGTAACATACGTAGCACGTAAGTAGATATAGGACGTATGCGTAGTTATCTAAGTACATGAGTACATACGTAAGATACATAAATAGCTGGATATCAGCAGGTATAAGTTAAAGAAAAGAAATAGAGGAAAACAGTGATACGTGTGAACGTGAACCGGAGCAATACCATTTGTACGACGAAGGAGTGGAAAATAGGATAAAAAGAGAGAGAGAGAGAGAGAGAGAGAGAGAGAGAGAGAGATAAGAGATGAAAAAGAAAGATAAAAATGTAGATAAAATAAGAGGAGAAAAGTGAAAAGAGTGTATGATTCTAAATAAGTACGTACTATCTTGTATCGTAGAGTCGCGTAACACAGCAACAGCCATTTTTTCGATGCTCTTCGAGGAGAGCCTCTCTTAATGGTCCGTGTGTTGGTCTCGATCAGCATTGTAACAACCGTTGCATTTTCCTCCATCGCATTTTATCCATCGTCTGGGGTATATCACAAGAAGTCGCGGAAAGGTAAAGAGAGGAAGTGGGGGACGGTAGCTCGTGTTCCAACGAGCAGTGGATTCGTTGTACAACGCGAGCCATTTTCCAAGAGAATGCATCTCTCTTTCTCTCTCTCTCTCTCTCTCTCTCTCTCTCTCTCTTTCTCTCTCTCTGTCTGTTTCTCTATTCCTCTCTGTCTCTTTCCAGAGAGTCGTGAGAGTGCTCTCGTCAACTATATACTTTCCCTATACCCCACCTACAGAACTCTTTTTCTCTGTCTCTGTCTCTGTGTTCTATCTTGGTACGGTTGAGTGTCTATTTTCAACTACCCTCCATCCAAAACCACGGAGAACAGCGTCCCGTTTTCGCAAAGACTTGGAAGGTAGTGAAACGTTCGGAGGCTGGAGGGAACGACTCAGGAAACATAAAGAGAAAGATGAAGAGAGATAGATAGATGGATAGATATAGATGGATAGAGATAGAGAGAGAGAGAGAGAGAGAAAGATAGAGAGAGAAGGTCGTTTGACAAGTAAATTGTCCTGTTTGATGTCAATGGCTGATGCGACCCGAAACATCCTTCAAAGAGAATCTAGAGACGTTACTCTAAGCTCCTACGAAAACTATGAGGAGATAGAGATAGAGAGAGAGAGAGAGATAGATAGATAGGGAGATAAAGTTAGGCTGATATTCGACTCTACCTAGGATCTTAGACTCGTAGAAAAATAAATGTGCTCGAGTCGAATATTTATTATTTGAAAACTTGAAAGTGTCTACAAACTGTCGGCAGCACGCTAGATCCAAACTATATGTATTTATGTCGTATATGTATGGCTTTCAAAAAGCTTCTTTTTCTCTACTTTATTTATTTCTTTCTTTCTTTCTTTCTATCTTTCTTTCTTTCTATCTTTCTTTCTTTCTTTTTCATATACCGACGTAGCAAATCTCGTCAACTCTCTTTTTCTCTTTGAAACTTATCTCCCATCATGATTTCATCTTTTCTCCTCTTACAGTGTCAGCTGTTACTTGTTTCTATGGATCTACTTCATGATCTGGATATGTTTCATGGTGATACGCGTTATGTTCTGTTCCTCTCTCTCTCTCTCTCTCTCTTTCTCTATCTGTTGACTATAGTAGAAACACATTGCGTTGGAACGCGTACGAGTCTATTCGTCGTCATTACGTCGGACATCACTCGTCACCGTCAACCAGAAAATCGGATATACCTGATCTACGATAGACTAGATCTAGAAGGTATCTAAGCGTGTTACGAGAGAAAGTACAGGAATACTTTCAAAATAGGTTCTATGTATTTTTGATGTTGGCATGTATTACATATATCATTCTTTAACAACGAAAGATTCTGTTAACTTCTTCGTATTATCGTATTTCATTTTAACGAAGGACACACTTTTTTGCAGTAAAAAGAAAGAAAATAAATAAATAAATAAAAAAAAAAAAAAAAAAAGAAGAAACGAATCATCGAACTCATGAGACTAAGAATCTCGTTAGAAATTTCATTGATGATACGCGTTATAAATCAATTTTCACGCTTGAGACAATCATCACCATGTAAATCATAAGTTTAACGTGCTTTTACACTTCTTGTTTCTCGGATAGAGTACGTCGTAACATCAGTAAGTTATGTGAGTATGTGAGTACGTACACGTACACGTATATGTAAATACATTATGATTCCTAGAACGGTCGATTAAATGGCCGACATTCGTGTTCATAGTAAGATCGAGCTATACAAACCTCGCTCCATTGATCGGCCTCCCACATTGGACAAGAGATAATGTTACAGGTCTCCTGTACTCGTGGTTTGTGCGTGACACTGCATTTATGCTCTGGCAACTGTAACAATGTGATTTACGTTCTTTTGTCATTGTAAATCAAACGTCGAACATTATAAATTTTATTATTAAGAAAATTCTTATAACATATGTATTCGCGTTTTGCTTTGGTTTATTTAAAATAAATAAATTTATATAAATTATCGTCCATTTTACTTATATCTTTTTTATCGTATATTTAATCGAGACGAGAGAGAAACAGAGAGAGAGAGAGAGAGAGAGAGAAAAAATGGAATAATAAAATAGATCCGTACAAATCGTTAGAAAACTTTTTCTATTCTGGTACAGTGGTGGTACATTTTAGCGAAACGAAAAAGTGAAAAGTATCTAAGTATACGAAAGTTATTTCTACGTCTTGCACTTATGCATCACCGAGGCGAACGAGATTCGCGGCCCTCTGCATCCGAGCCAGAAAGTCTCGGATGAGAAAATTTTTACGACGTAATGTCGGCTTACCACGAACTACATAGTCCTCTAAGCTTAAACGAACCGAACGAGGTTAAGGATATGTACGACCAAATCGATCCACGAAGGACAATCTTATATACGTATCTATCGTTTTCGGTCGTAACCCAAAGATGAAAGGAAAAAAGATAAAGGGCAACGAAAAAGAAAAAGAAAAAGAAAAAAAAAGAAAAAAAAAGAAAAAAAAAGAAAAAAAAAAAAAAAGAAAAAAAATATATTGAAATTTAACCTCTGTCCCACGAATACGTCGGAATTTATTTTTCGTCGCGCTAACGCACGTTTTTGCGTATCGGCCGGTCGTAGAAAATGAAAAACAAAAAAAAAACAAAAAAAAAAAAACAAGAAAAAATTGTTCGACGATTTTTACCTTCGTAGTTTCGTTGCCATTTTCTTCGGTACAAAAGACAGCTCTGGTTCTCGATCCGCCACCGCAACTTGCGCTGCACTTGCTCCATTCTCCGCTTATCCATCTGAAAGTAAAGGAGAAAAGAAAAAAGTAAGGAAAAATAGAAGGAAAGGAGAGAAAGAGAAAGAGAAAGAGAAAAAGAAAGAAAGAAAGAAAAGAAAAGAAAAGAAAAGAAAAAGATTTAAACATCGGAATACCATACTGGAAGAATATTCTTCCTTGTATCCTTTGACGTGCTATGGCACACTGCCACAATCACACTTTTACATAAGCATAGTACAAATGGTAATAGTAATAGTAATAGTAATAGTAGTAGTAGTAGTAGTAGTAGTAGTAGTAGTAGTAGTAGTAGTAGTAGTAGTGATAGTGTAGTACATTTGCAAGAGGTTCTTCGTAGAAATTGCTGGTTCATAAAATTCCAACATTCGCTCGAATAAAAAAACTGATTCACGAGGTCGCACACATTTATCGTGAGAGAAATTACGCTTTCGAATTTCGATGAGTTTTTACGCTTGTAATTCAACGTAGGTAGGTACGTACGATTCGAGTCGTTGAACGCGTTACAACACGAAGTCCCGAAGCCATTATCGTTCGACTATCGTAGAGTAGAAGAGGAGAAAGAGGAGGAAAAAGAGGAAGAGGAGTAAGAGGAGGAGGAGGAGGAACACGCGATGGGGCTGTTTCTCCAAGGTTGCGCAAGTAGTAAAAGCGATATTCGCTCGAACGAAAACTCATTTTAATTCGAAAAGTGGAAGATCAATTGGCTATGATAACGATTCATTCTTTTCATTATACCGTTTTAATTAAGTTTTGTTTTTCGATTGAATTTTTAAATAAACGCTATTCCTTCGTTACTATAGAAATATTTTGAATGTAATTTTTTTTTTATTTTTAAATAAAAATTAAACAAGTATTCAGACTAACTAGGATTGCATCCAAGATTGATATTTATTTTATTATTCCTTTCTTTCTTTTTTTTTTTTTTTTTTTTTTATTTCAATGCTCTAGTTAATCGATCCTTCTTTATATTTCTGTTAGAATTATAGAAATATTTTTACTATTATTATTATTATTATTATTATTTTTTTTTTGTTTTTTAATAGAAAGAAATGTGTTATTTAAGAAACGACTAAAGTCGACTATGAATTCGACGTGATCGTTCATTTTAAATATTGAAACGTTGACGCAAAACCGGACTTCATGTTCTTCTTATTTTTTGTCCCTCTCTTTTTTTTTCTTTTATCCCTTTTATATTCTTTTCTTTCTTCTCTTTCTCATTTCAGAAAAATCCTCTCTAAGAGAAGATGGAACGCGTTCGCACCTGACAAATCTCTGAAATATTCAAAACCGAGATGTGTGAAATGTTAAACGAAGCTGTCTCTTGCTTAACACCATCGTCGTCTATTCGAGGAAATAGTCGACGATACGAAATACGTCGTTGAATTTACACTTTTATGTTGAAAATGAATATATATATATGTGTGTGTGAGAGAAAGAGAGAGAGAGAGAGAGAGAGAGAGAGAAATAGTAAGAGTAAGACGGACAGATGAAAAAATTAAATTAACAATTAATCTCTCTTTCTGTCTCTCTCTCTCTCTCTCTTAATAATCTTCGATCGTACTTTCTGGCCAACATCAATTTCGTAAAAAGAAGAAGAAGAAAAAAAAATAGAAATATTATACTCAATAATGATATCTTTTAAATAAGATAATGGATCGAATGAGGAGATAATTTATTAAGTGCCTAACTCATTTATCGCGGGATCGTTAAAAGCGAACAAAGTTAAAAGGGTGGTATCGAGTGTTTCTCGAGTTGTCTGATATAATTGAATAAGGAACATCTATCTGAAGGGTTTGGAAACTTTTATGGATCGATATCCATTTTCAGTGACGCGATCATTTTACAAGAGCAACTCGAAAATATAATTGCCATCGATAGTTCATTGATAAATAATTTGAAACTTGCTTGTTCGATGTTATTAAATATCGATTATTCTTTTTCGTGACTTTTATTGGCCAACTCGACTTTTCTTTTATTTTTCTTCTTTTTCAAATCGCAAAACAAATCGCAAAATTTAGAAACTATTCTTCGATCGAAACTTTACGTCGAATAAAATTTAGATAAGGATTAAGAATATGCTGTTTATATATTTAATTTCGATTTATATTTAATGATAATTAAATAGAACGATTATTTATATATATATATATATATATATATATATATATATATAAATATAAGCTTAGATGTGCTATCTTTAATTTTTCAATGACTCACGTAAAATTTTACATCTATGACGAATAATTTCAAAATATTATGATCTCAAGACATACGATTCGTTCGAGAATAAGTCGCAATGTCGTAGAGATTTGTATATAATAAAGAAAAACTATTATGTATGAAGGTCGAAACGATAGGACATTTCGTTGATACGTTTAGAAATTATTCAGTATTACGTGATCCATCGACGAGTGAACATTACGAGTGACATATTAAACAAATATATAAGTATGAAATAAGTGGGGAAGAATGTTAAATGAGTTCGGGAAGAAAAAAAGAAATAATAAATGAAATAAATAAATTCTCGAATTAAAAAAAATCAACGACCGTTAGTAACGAGGATATCTATAAAGTGATAAGAAGAAGCCGTGACGTAGTGTGTCTCTTCTGTATTTTCTTTTCTTTTTATAAGATATTAAAAATTATCCGGAAACGTACGATGATGATATTTCTATTAGAAAAAAAAAAAGAAAAAGAAAAAGAAAAAGGAACAAAAAGAAAAAATCTTTATATTTTCAAACTAAAAAGATAAGAGTTAAACGAACAAAGAAGAAAGGAAAAAAGAGAAGGAAAAGAAAAAAAAAAAAGAAAGTAAACTCCTTTCTTCCTTTGTATTTCATGAACGAGTTTAACGAAGACAGAAATTGTATATATCTCCGTGTTTCGTGCAACGATACTCACTTTGTCGTGCAGGGATGCGTGTTGCATGGCACGAGAGTCTTCTCAGGTCTTTCATCGTTCTTGCAATGGCTGTCGTTGACAACACGATCGTCCGTTCCTACTGCTTTACAAACTGGCATTGCTATTTTAAAACCTAAGGAATAACGACAAAATACTTGATAAGGAGAAGCCCAAAAACTCTACGTTCGTTCGAGTTAAAGAAAAGTAAGATGCACGGTATAATTCATTTAAATCCAATCCGATTCATGTATAATAGATTTATTTATAAATCCGAGACATTTAATAACGATCGATGATTTAATTCAAATTAATTTTAATAAGAATTTTTCTTCTGTCTCGAATAAGCGAAATCATTTTAGTTTTTCTTTTTTTTTCTCTTTTTCTTTCTTTTCTTTTTTTTTTTTGTTTTTATTATATATATAAGATTTAATATAATCCTTTTATAAGGACTCTGTCTCATAATATTCTTCCAGATATGTTTTTCTTCGTTATTATCTAAATTTATGAAAGGGAAAAGAGAATAATTTAAATATATTCAATCGATTAATGAACGATTCGATTTTTTTTTTTTTTAAATAAATAAAAAAAAAAAAAAAGAAAAAAAAAGAAAAAATAAGCGAATCTAAATGGAGAAGTTTTGATCGAGTAAAAGACATTTTTATTGAATTTTCAATCTTTTCTTAAAGGGACACAGAGCAAAAAAAAAAAGATTGCGTTGATATGACGGCAACGTCCGATATGAAATTTTTTTGTCAAAGAGAATCTCCCTTGGAATAGAAGGGATGAGTTGAGAGAGAGATGAGGTAGGGTGGGAGATTGGGGGTTGGGGAATCGACGGGTGGAGGTGGAGGTGGGGTAGGGTGGAGTGGGTGGGGTGAGGGGCAGAAGGATGATCGTCTGGAAATAAGAAATTACTTACCTCCGCCGCAGGACTTGGAGCAAGCGGATATCGGTTCCAAGTTCCAAGAGTATTTCGATTGACAGCTCGATCCATTTCCGCCACAAACTCCGCACGCATCCGTGTTCTTGCTACTTCCGACTCGCAAATCGCAGCCCACTTTCTGTGAACACGACAACGTATTGACGTTTTATCGAGTCTTCACGAAGAAGAAAAAGAAAAAGGAAAAATTGATCGCACATATATCCGATAAGAATTTTTGTAATAATGTTCCTGCATGACACGTATGTAATATAAAAAGGATAATTATACGTATATTATTTTTTAATATTAATGTCAATAAATATTTCATAACGAACAAAAAAAAATAAATATATATATATATATAGTATATATGTATATATTTATTTATTTATTTATCTTTTTAGTTCGCACAAAAATTCTATCTAATAAATATTTCTCATTGTTAATTACGTCGTAATCGAAATGAAATCACCAATTATGGTGGCAATTATTGCGAACGATTTAACGATTTCTATTCTCATCCCTTGCTCTTTTCTCGCATTATTTTTTCGCATTGTCATGATTAACGTTTTTCCTCTCTCTCTCTCTCTCTCTCTCTCTCTCTCTTTTTTCTTTTCTTTTTTCTTTTTTTTTCCTTAAAAACGAAAATTGATTCTTCGTATTTTTTATTTCGTTCATGTACTATTATCTATCGATCTATTCGATAAGTTTTGTCAATTTAAAAGTAGCTATTATAAAATTAGCGAAAGGAGGAAAACAAAAGTTAATTCCTTTTTGACCGAAATAGTTATCGGTGAGGATCTTTCGACAAGAAGTCGAGAAAGATGGAGAGATAGGAAGGAAGGAAGGAAGGAAGGAAAGAAGGTGAAAGGAGAAAAAGGTTGACGTCGATTCGTGACCTGGCTTGGACCGTAGACTGATTTGTCATTCAGCTTGCATAGAGGTTTCCTCGTACCTTGAGAAGAGTACATTATTCATTTCTTATCCGGTGTGTTCGAGAGAAAGAGAAAGAGAGAGAGATAGAGAGAGAGAGAGAGAGAGAAGGGGAGGAGGGATGGGAGTGGGAAGTGAAGCATATTATAAAAAAAAAGTACACGACGATAACAAGAAGAGTAGAGAAGAGATAGACAGAGTAAAAAAGATAGACGTGCGCTTAATGAGATCATACACGTAGACCGATTGATAGATTACCGAAGATCCAAGTAATTAGATATTTTAAGAAAAAAGAACCTTGATATAGTAGTATATATATATATATATATATATATATATATATATATATATAAATATGTATGTATACCTATCATTGTTTTTTTTTTTATTTTAAGAAATCGATTAGATACTATATACCGGTAGAAAAAGTAACGTTGTAAAATAAAAAAATATTGATCGAAGAATAGAATGAATGATATACCCTCGTAAATTACCAAATGGAATATTTATTTATAACGTTGGTAAAAAAATTGTCATCTTCGATATATCCTCTATGATAGGTTCGTTCGATAATTATGAAAAGTGTTATTGATATATTTGCGGATTAACGAAAGAAGGACAAAAAAGAAAAAAAAGAAATGAAAAAAAAAAAAATAAAAGTAGAAAAAGAAAGATAGAAAATATCGGGACGTACTTTTCTTCTTCTTACACCGATTTTTATTTATTTACTTTTCCTTTTTATTTTTCTCTCTTTTTTTTTTTTCTTTTTTTTTTTGTTTCATTCAATTTCTCTCTATGTATATTGTGTACGAAAATGAAATGCAGTTGAGTCCTGTATGAAATCCCAAACGTTGTGTCCATTATGAAACGTATATATGTATTTATATATATATATATATATATATATATATATATATATATATATATATATAAATCCTCGAGAGATCGAACTTCGCGGCTTCGAGTGGCTAT